TTTTTTTGGACGGGGGTGTTGAAACAGGGTCTCACTATATAGTCGAGACTGACCTGGAACTCACTATGTAGCCCAGGCTAGTCTCGAACTCACAGCGATCCTCCTGCCCCAGCCTCCCGAGTGCTGGGATTACAGGCGTGCGCCACCACGCCCAGCTTCCTTCCTTCCTTCCTTTTATGGATGAGGGGTTGAATGTCAGGTTGAAATGATCCAGTAAGAGCTGGGTGTGGCGGCCCATGCCTGGAATCCCAGTGCTCTAGCGGGCTGAGGCAGGAAGAGGGGAAATTTGAGCCAAGCCCAGACAATTAAGCAAGAACCTGTCTCAAAAAATAAAGAGGACCCTCTGGAGGCTGAGGATTACTGTGCCTTCTAGGCCTGCCTGAACTGCACAGAGAGACCCTGTCTCAAAGGTAAATAAATAAAAAAAGGGTTGGGGCAAAGCCCTGGTACAGAGCACAGTAGGCCTGGGCACACAGCTGGCAGGGGAGTCTTTCCCAGCTTGCTCTAGGCCCCATTCCATCCGCAACATGAGGAGAAAATGTCCTTGTCCAGTGGTGAGGGGCCATTGGTGTGATGTTGGTCCTGAACTGGTGATTGTGAAAGCCAGCTGATGGATCCCTGGGGATCTGTTAGATTCTCTTTATTAACTGGTGAGGCACACCTCTGATCCAGCATGTGGGAGGCGGGGACAGTAGGATCACAAGTTCGAGGCCAGCCTGCGCAATTTAGTGAGACCTTGTCTCAAAATCTTAAGAAGGGCAGGGACGTTGCTCACTGTGAAGCATTTGCCTGACGTGCAGGAGGCCCTGGGTACAGTCCCAGTGCCCACACCCAAAGATGATGAGAGTCTGACTGCAGCGTGGCTGGGTAGGGTCAGTCCAGAATGAGGAGGGAGGGGGCAAGGCTGCCCGGAAGTGAGTGTAGCCTCGAGCTCGTTGGACCTCAAGCTCAGAGACAAAGAATTCTGATGTTACATACAGATGCCAACCCCGTGATGGGTGTGGTCAGTATGTACTGCAAACATGGAGTCATAAAAAGTTTTTAAGAGGCGTGGTGTGTGCTGGCCGAGGTGGCACAGGCCTGTAATCCCAACTCTGGGGAGGCTGAGACAGGAGGGTCAATTGTTGCAGATCAGAGGCCATCCTGGGCTACACAGTGAGTTCAAGACCAGTCTGGGCTACATAGTGAGGCTCTATCTCAAAAAATCAGAAAAGGGAAGGCTGGGGATTTAGCTCAGTGGTTCTGCTGCCTTCCTCGAAAACATAAGGACCCAGTTCGATCCCCGGTACCAAAAAAAGACAAAACCAGAAAAAGGGGATATATTGCTCTCCACTTTTGTGTAAGTTGGGCATTCCTTGTTAAGAAACCAGTAGACTACAATAGCACAGTCACTTGGATGATGGCAGTAAGCATCCCCCTGTGGGGCTTCCTGGTTAATATTTTAGCCTCCTAGGTCCTTAAAGCTATTCTAGTAGAAAACCTGGGTTGCTCAAGTTAGGAAAAGGCTGCCTCACCTAGAAAATGTAAACTGTCACTTTCAAGTTTTAAAAGAATGTAGTCTTGGGCCAGGGATTTAGCTCAGTGGTTCTGCTGCCTGCCTCGCAAGTGCAAGGACCTGAGTTCGATCCCCAGTACCCCCCCCCAATGTAGTCTTACCATATGGGCGACTCCTGCTGCAGATGTTTAATTAGCTAAGCTCTGTAAAGTACAGTAAAATCCTCAAGAGGCTTTACAAAAGTTAGAAGATTTCTGTGGGTATAGTCGAAATAACCTCAGTGGCTTTTCTATTTCTTTATAGTTTTCTTTGAGATATGGTCTCACTGTGCTGCCTGAGCTGGCCTTGAGTTCTGGGCTCAGGCGGTCCTCCCACCTCAGCCTGCCAAGTAGCTGGGAGTACAGGTGTGCAGCACTCTGTTTCTCTAGTTCCTGATACATGAAGAGCAGTTTTTGTGGCGTCTTGAAAGGCAAGTCCTTGAGGAATGGTTTGAGTACTAATCTATTTCTTCTCTCTCTCTCCCTCTCTCTCTCTCTCTCTCTCTCTCTCTCTCTCTCTCTCTCTCTCTCTCTGTCATTTATTTTGCTACGGGAATCGGACTCTGAGTCCTTGTACTTGCAAGGCAGGTGGTGGAGCCACTGAGCTAAATCCCCTACCCCTAATCTGTTTCTTAAGGGAACAATTCCTACACAACGATTAGCTCTCCTGCTAGATTTTGTTTGTGAAAGTAGGGACTGTAACAAATGGCACAAGGGATGACACCATCCAAGCAGGCCCCGGAGGGCAAAGAGGTACAGACTGTTCACCTGGCAGGCCAGAGGCTGCCAGCCTGAACAGCGCAAAGGCAGGAAGCTCTCTAAGGAATTGGAAGAGCGGTCTGGCGGGTGTATCACCTGTGGGGCTGGAGCAGATGTTTGTGGTCAGGGCCCAGGCAGCGATGGAGGCAGGCTGTGGATCTGTTCAGGTGACCTGGCGTTGAGAAGATGCTGTGGTTTGTAGTTGTCATCTCTACATAGGGAACGTCCCATCCTGCGCTCTGTGTCTTAGAGAGCACCTGCATGGGCTGCCTGTTTCGTTGTGTTTTTTTTGTAACTCCTCAGGCTGCAGCTTGGAATTAAAGTGCATACTCATTAACCGTTTCACTGCCAGGTCAAGCCTGACAAGGACTGCTCCTCTGCTCGCTACTGTCTTCTGAGCCTTGTTCATGTTGGGTCCTCACAAACATTTGCTGGGGCTGGGAATTTAGCTCGGTGGTGCCGCTGCCTGCCTTGCAAACGCAAGGTCCTGAGTTCGAGCCCCGGTACCAAAAAAAGAAAAAGAAAACAAGTGTTTGCTGAGTGCAGTTTATGCAGTTTCTAGGAACTCTAATGTGCTGTGTTCTCTCCCCTCTGCCCTCAACTCCAGCCCCACAGCATGGACCTGCAGGTCACTCTGAATGTAACTTTTAGAAATGAGACACAAAGCTTTCTGGTTTCTGATCCAGAAAACACAACTTGGGCCGATGTGGAAGCTATGGTGAGTGTTCCTCATTTTGTTTCTGTGTTGAGCATGGGTGTTTTGTTTTTTTTCCCAAAGGTGTCAGTTTTTAGCAGGGTTGCTCCCCAGCTGTTGGGTGTCATCTTTCCCATTCGGGGCTTTGGGAACATTGTCTTTGACAGAGTCAGTATTGTATAGATGTGCCCCAGTCCGGGAAACACAGACAAGTCTCTTTTGAAGAGCTTAGAAAGACAAGATAAAAATATTTTTTAGGCAAGCTGGGATTTAGAAAACCTATTTATTTTCCAAGAAGTCTGAGGAATGAATTGGTTGGGCCCCTCCTGAACCAGGCCCCAGGGAGTGGGGTCTCCCCACGGAGCAAAGAGACCCTGCTGTTGGAGAGCCCCAGATGTGAGGCAGATGCTGTGCAAGAGCCCAGGGGTTGCTTTCGTTGCCGGGGTCACACTTTTTCTGTTTCTCAGTTTGTCCTTTGGTCTGTTTTGACTGTTGAGTTTATGGCGGTGAACATTTTCCTTCCTTTATGCCTCCCTCCTCCCTCTGGGCACTGGGGTCACAGGGCGCCACCACACCCAGCTCAGCTTGGCCTTGAGTTTTTAAAGATAACTGCCCAGTGCTTCTGGGAAGGGCTTGAGCAACTGAGAAACCTTTGTCAGTGCCCTGAAATTTTGACAACGTGGACAAGAGTGCTTTAAAAATGCTTGCTCTTCTCATGAGGTGATCTCACTGTTTTAATTTGTATTGTTCTGACCACCAGCGAAGTGGAGCGTTTCCTATGTTCGGTATTCTGATTTAGGGGGCCAGGGATTTAGCTCAGTTGTTCTGCCGCCTGCCTTGCAAGCTCAAGGGCCCAAGTTGAATCCCTGCTACCCCCCAAAAAAATCTGATTTCCTTCACTGTGAATCTTCTGTACATTTGTGCCCATTTTTACTTGGTTTGCTAATCCTATTACTAGCAGTTTTACAGACATGCTTTCATCTGTTATCGATTGCAAATGTTTTTCTAGTTGGTGGTATTTGACTTTATGGTGTTTTTGTTGTTTGTGCTGGGAGTCAAAGCCTGGGCCACTCTCAAGCTGAGTGAAGGGTCTACCACAGAGCTACATTCCCGGCCCTTGTAGCACTTATCACATAATTGTCTTTCCTTTAAATTTTATTTATTTATTTGGTACCAGGGATTGAACTCAGGACCTTGCACTTGCAAGGCAGGCAGTGGAACCGCTAAGCTAAATCCCTGACCCCAGACTGGTCTGAACTCACTGTGTAGCCCATATTGGCCTTGAACTCACCAGAAATCCTCCTGCCTCAAGTCTCCCAAGTGCTGTGATTACAGGTATGGGTCACTATGCCCAGCTAGGCCAAATTTACCTTGAACTCTCTATGTAGTTCAGCTGGCCTTGAACTCAAAATTTTCCTGCCTTGGCCTCCTTAATATTAGGATTATAGGGCCGGGGATTTAGCTCAGTGGTTCTGCCGCCTGCCTCATAAGTGCAAGGTCCTGAGTTCGATCCCCATATCCCAAAAAAAAAAAAAGTATTAGGGTTACAAGTGTTATGCCAGCAGAAAGAATGTTTAATATTTCTATAGTAAAACATGCCTGCCATTTTCCTTTTTTTTTTTTTTTTTTTTTACCTAATTGGGCATTGAACCCAAGGCTGCGTGTATGGTAGACACGTGCTCTAGCATTGAGCCACTCTCTAGCCCTGAGTGCCTTTTCTGTTCTGATTCCTGAGTTTCTGTTGTGGCCTCCTTTTTGATACCTTAATCCTGTACCATATGAATTTCACTTGCAGGTAAAAGTTTCTTTTGATCTGAACACTGTCCAAATAAAGTACCTGGATGAAGAGAATGAAGAGGTAAGCACATGGTGGACCCATTGCTGGGTGCTCAGATTTAGGGCTTTGGGGGGTTTCTCTGTGACAGGGTCTCACCATGTGGTTCAAGTTGGCCTTGAGCTCAGCAGTCCTCTGGCCTCTTCCTCCCAAGTGTCATCATGCCAGGCCAGAATAGAGTTCTTTTTTTTTCCTAGAGTGATAGGGGGCTTGAGATGTTCAGAATGGTATTTATCTCGTGTGTGTGTGAAGACTGTTATTTGATAATTCAGCTGAGTTGGAGTTGGGAAATAGGGAAGGAGTATTGAAGAAGAGTATTTGCAAGATAAATTTAAAGTTAGTCAGGTGTGAGCTGAGCACAGTGGTGTTCGCCTGTAATCCCAGCACACATTCAGAGGCTGAGGCAGGAAGATGGAGGCCAGCCTGCACTACACAGTGAGTTCAAGGCTAGCCTGAACTATGTAGTGAAGCCCTGTCTCAAAACATCAATGGGGCTTGGGATTTAGCTCAGTGGTTCCACCACCTACCTCGTAAATGCGAGTTCCTGTTGGGGGGAGCAACAACAATAACAAAATTTAGCCCGGTGTGTTGGTGCACACCTGTAATTCCACCACTCACTGAGGACGCTGAGGCAGGAGGATTTCTGGGAGTTCCATGCCAGCCTGGGCTACATAGTGAGTTCAAGGCCAGCCTGAATTATATGCTATAACCCTGTCTCAAAAAGAAGAAAAAGGCGGGGGAGGTTGGGGATGTAGGTCAGCGGCACCGCGCCCACCTCAGAAGTGCAAGATCCTGAGTTCACTTACAATTATGAAGTGATCTCAGGTTCAACATATACAAGCTACTACTTAGTTTTTGTTGGTCTTTTCGGTATCAGGGATGGAACTCGGGACCTTGTGCTTGCGAAGCAGAAGGGGGTGCCACTGAGCTAAATTCCTGGCCCCTGCCACTTAGTTTTTAATAATACAGGAACAGTGACCAACTTTTAGTCAGAAATACAACAGTGCTGTGTATCAGGCACATTATTATTATTATTGCTATTTTACGTGCAGGAAACTGAGGCAATGTGAAGTTAAGGAACTTGAAAGGAGTGGTACAGGCTCTATTTGTAGCTTCTGGCTCCAGAACAGGCCAGATCACTGTATCACGCTGCCTCTCCGTGTCCCTGAAACAAAGGAGAGCACAGTATTTAAGCAGTAAAATTTTTTCTTTTTTGGTCCCAGGGATCCAAAAATGTCTTAATTATTGTTTGTGGCTGGCAAATGGTCTTAGAAAGGCCAGGCCCAGGACGAAACAGGTCCTTATAGCAGAACCGCTCAGTTGAGAGGACACTTAGAACTCACGCTTGCTTTCTTCTCTTTGCAGATATCCATCAACAGTCAAGGTGGGTTCTGCAGAGAACGGGAAGCTCTGCTCGAAGCCTTGGTGTGCTCTCCAAGGCCTTTCCATGTCTGCGCCGTCCCCGGTGCTCATTTAACGGAGTGTGACATGTTAGGAATGCACACCCTGCTCGGTCGTGCTGGGCGTGTTCCCTGTCTACACAGTTGCTGTGTGTGCACAGCATACAGCATCTCCCAGTACAGGTCATGTGGGACGGGAGCTCTTACTGCATGGGGTGGTGCCTTAGACTGTACTGCGAGGCCTCAGGTGTTTAGGGTGTGATCCTGCCAGGTGTGGCTGGTGTACCCTGTCCTCTGACGTGGCGGTCCCCAGAGTGTCTGTCCATGGGGTGGGGGCTTGGAGTGCGCTTTCCCATGGGGACGATGTAGCAGAGATGACATAGGGGCCCTGGGGTTGGAGCTCAGTGGCACTGCACCTTCCTGGAAAGCACAAGGCCCTAAGTACCCACCCCCCCAAAAAAAAATTCCTAAGAGCAACATCTGGGTGTAAAACATTGCATGCATAATGAGGTAGTACATAGAGTAACACTGTTACCATAGTGAAACAATGTAGTCTACCCATCCCTTGAAAAGAGCAGCTGCAGTCTGCTCCCTCAGCAAGAATCTGAATACAGCTGAGCATAGTGGCACCTGCCTATAATCCCCACATGGGGGAGGCTGAGGCAGGAGGATCACAGCAAGTTTAAGGGCGGCCTGAACTATGTAACAAGACCTTATTTTTAAAAAACAAACAATTCTGAATACATTACATCGTCACTAACCATAGTCTTAATGTGTTAGGTTTTTCTTTCTTTTTTTTAATGTGTTAGATTTTTAGGAGTGATTATGTGTAATAGAATCTTAAGTGCTGGTGAAGAAATATCACTAATTTTTTTGTCCTTTTAGGAGAATACGAAGAAGCACTTAAGGTAATGGTTATTGTATTTCATTTTCCTATGATTTCAGAAATGTTTATTGTCCTTTAAAAAAAAAATGTTTATTGATTAAAACTTGAAGGCTGGGCCAGGGATTTGGCTCAGTGGTTCCGCTGCCTGCCTCACAAGAGCAAGAGCCCGAGTTTAATCCCCGGTACCAAAAAAACAAAAACAAAACTTGAGGGCTGAGGTGTAGTTCAGTAACACTGCAAAAAACAAAACCAGTTTGAACTTGACTTCCCATGAGGAGCTAGGAAAAGTGAACACAAAGAACCCTGTTTTCTGGGCGGCTGTGTAGAGCAGGGCCCACCACTTGGTGAAAGGCAGTTCTAACCCTGCTCCTTCCTGTTCCTGCTCCTCTCATTGCTTGTCGTGGTGCCACCAGCATACGTTTAATATATGGAAGAAGCGGTGTGGTGGGCGCCTGTGGTGCCAGCTACTCCAGAGGCTGAGGCAGGAGGGTTGCAAGTTCGAAGCCCACCTGGGAACTCAGTGAGACCCAGTCTCCATTTTCAAAGCATGGAAAGGCTGGTGGGGCCGAAGCCCAGGGGTAGAGGGCCGCCAGCCCTGCTCAAGGCCCTGGGCTCAGTCCCAGTACTGCCAAGAAACCAGCTCTCAAGGCACATAGGAGCCTATGTGTCTTGTTTTACTTATTTCCTTTTTCCTTGGTGCTGGGGATCCAGCCCCAGGGCCTCACCCAGCTGAGGCAGCCTACCAGCCCTGCACCCTGCTCTCCTGATCACCAGGTCAGGAGGATGCCATCCTAGGGGCTGGGCACAGTGGCGCACACCTGTGATCCAGGCACAAGTTCAAGGCCGGCCTGCGCTACACAGTGAAACCCTGTCTCAAAAAATAAAAAAGGAAGTCTAAGTCTAATGTATAAGAATAAATAAGAGCCATGGATGTAGCTCAGTGTCGGCACACCTGCCTGGCAAGCACAAGGTCCTGAGGTCGATCCCTGGTACCAAAAAAAAATTTTTTTTCTTGGTGAAGAAATAACAGACTGGATATTAACAGTGTTAATGCAGTTGAGTTAATAAGTATCTGAGATTCTTTTGTCCACAATTCCAGGACAAGTGTTCAGGATTGGTTTTTGGATTCAAAGTGTTTGCTTATAGATAGTGAAATGCCTCTTCCCTGTGGGACTCAGTCTCCCCTGGAAGTCTGTGCACGCCATGCACACTGGATACAGCTTGCAGGTAGCTTGCGACCATCCTCAGTCCACCAGCATTTCGACTGCACCTTGTCCCAAAGGTGTGGTGCTCAAAAAGTCTCCAGTTTCGTACTGTTTCACATCTTCAGGGTAGGGATATTGAAGCTGTATATTCATTTAATGACATAAGCCAGGCACGGTGGTGCACCCCTCTTGCATCTCAGTGCTCTAGGAGGCCAAGGCAGGAGGGTCACCACAAGGTGCTGCCCAGCCTGGGCCACTTGGTAACACCCTGTTTGAAAATCAGAAGCAGAAACAGGCTGGGGTGTTGCCTATCTGAAGGCCTTGCCTTCAGTCCCCGTATGCAAGAAACAGGAGGGGAACCTGGTATTACTTTGCACAGTTCCCTATACTCTTCTACTTAGGGGCTTTAAATAAACTTCTACTTGTGCACGGTGACTCACACAGGCGTTCTTCTTTTCTACCGTGCGCCCAGATGGCAGTCAAGCAGGGAAACCAGCTACAGATGCAAGTCCACGAAGGGCGCCCACACCCCACCTCAACACTGGCCCCGGCCCCGGCCCTGCCGGGTGCAGGAAAACACGAGGCCTCCAGGCCAGGGAAGAAGCAGCTTGTGCACTACTCCTCTGTGGCAAGAGTCGTGGGTTCAGACCTGAGACGCCCCAGGGAGCCGGCACCCCAGGTATGCAGGGCACTGGGCATGCGGGCTTGACATCTGGCCAGCTCTTGCACACCGCTCCTTGCTATGACTGTGGGATTCGCTTGTTCACCAGCCCTGGGCCCTCCTGGCCTTCTGTCCTGGTGCTTAACACCACCACTACGAGTGGCACTTTTCTGCCTTGAATTGTGACCATTAAACCTCATGCTTACCCTGGCGTGGTGTTACATGCCTATGATCCCAGCACTCGGGAGGCTGAGGCAGGAGGATTGCCATGAGTTTTAGACCAGCCTGGGCTACATAGTGAGTTCAAGGCCAACCTGAACTACATAGCAAGACCCTGTCTCAGCAAAAAAAAACAAAAAAAAAGAGCCAAACTTCATACTTAGGTAATCCAACAGAAGAAACCGCACAATAAGACCTTTTGGGGAAATTATCTTGAATAGACAAAGTGACCTCGGTGATCTTTATTGTGTTTCTATGCAGCCATTTCCACTTGCTCCGGGTGATGCAGACCACGCCCAGGATGGGCCTCCGGACTGGTTCACAAGCTACCTGGAGACCGTGAGTGTCCCCTGCGGCGGGGTTCCAGGAGGAGCGAGGCGCCAGTGGGGAGGAGAGGGGTAGCTCAGGACCGGGGACCAGAGCAGGTCTGGCTAAGCACAGAGGAGGAGCAGGTGTGAAGGGGACGGGACAGCAGATCAGATCTCTGCGCTCAGAAGAGAGGGAGGGAGGGAGGGAGGAGGGGCTTGGGCACCGATTCACCCCAGGTGTCCCTCGGTGAGTGCGCTGAACAGGTGTCGCTGAAGGAGCAGAGCTCTGCTCGCCTTTCTGTTTACCTGTTCAGTGCCTGTTAATGGCCCATCCTTGTCCTGCACAAGAGGTGCTGAGGTTTCCAATCTGTCACTGTCTTCACCCCTCTTTCCAGCAATGGTGGCGAGTTCCCCCACTTCCTGCTTTGTGTTCTAGTTCCGAGAGCAGGTCGTTAGAGAGACAGTCGAGAAGCTGGAACAGAAGCTGCAGGAGAAGCTGGTCCTCCAGAGCCCGTCCTTGGGCTCCTGTGCCTCCGACGTCTCCGTGCCTGCTGCAGGGGACACCCTGTTCCTGCCGGAAAACCTGTTCAGCTGGCACATTGCTTGCAGCAGCTGCCGCCAGAGGATCGTGGGCGTGCGCTACCAGTGCAGGTGAGCGGCCCAGGGTCACAGGTGGGGGAAGGAAGGTCGGCTTCCCTAGTCCCCGAGCAGCAGCTGTAGGAGCCGCGGGTTAGAGGCACAGCCTCTCTTCCCCCCGAGCCGTGGAGAGATCCATCCAGGTAGTGCTTGGCGACAAAGGGCAGCGAATCTCTACTCTGCAGCAGGTCACGAGGACAGTCCTCATGGGCTGGGCCTCTCCTGCTTCCTCCCAGGACTTGTCCCTGGGACAGGTGCAGGGCTGCCATCCTCAGACTGAGGGACATGGGGCCTCACAGTCATGGCTCAGGCTCAGGCCTCCGGAGCGGGAGCAGGAGCGAAGCAGATGCAGGGTCTCCCTGTGCCGTCCTGCACTGGGCCCTTCTTCTCCCCGCAGCCTGTGCCGGTCCTACAACATCTGCGAGGACTGCGAGGCGGGCCCGTACGCCCATGACGCTAACCATGTGCTGCTCAAGCTGCGGAGACCCGTCCTGGGCACCTCAGAGCTGGCTTCCCACACAAAGCCCTCTGCTCCTCGTCTCCCGGCTGCCCTGGAACAAGTCAGGTAAGACCGTGGGCTTGGCAGCTCCATCTCTGATGCGATAAAAGAGTCATCTGGGGCTGTGTGGTGCCACACGGCTGGCGGAGTCTCCCAGCTTCTGCTTGGCGCCTCTGCATCCGCCGCACAGGGACGCCGCAGTTGTCCTCAGGCGGAGGGTGACTTGGGAATGCATGGGGCCCTGGCTCCGCAACTCCTGCTTAGGAGTTGTGAGTGCTCTTTTGTTTCCTTCAAGATGTTCATTTATTACTTTACAGGCTCCAGAAACAGGTTGATAAGAACTTTCTCAAAGCAGAAAAGCAAAGATTGCGAGCTGAGAAGAAACAGCGGAAAGCAGAGGTCAAAGAGCTTAAAAAGCAGCTTAAACTCCACAGAAAGATTCACCTGTGGAACTCGATCCATGCACTTCAGAGCCCCAAGTCCTCTCTGGGCCGGGCCGAGAGCTTGCTGCAGCCCAGCGCCCTGAGGTGAGCGGGACTGGGGCGGGACCAGACAGGACCAGTCCAGCTGGCAAAGCTGGACTGTCAAGACCGCCTGGCTTTCTTGTTTCCTTTGAGAGGGCATCCCCAGGTTGCCCAGGCCGCTGTTTAACCGCCGGGCTCAGCAGCTCTCCTGCCTCAGCCTCCCAAGTAGCTGGGCCGCAGAAGTAGCCCTGCCTGGCCGCTCCTCACACTCACGCTGCAAACCTCCTGTCTGAGCCTCGGCTCCCTGTGGGTAGTCCAGTAGTTCTCCCTGCCACATGCTTGTCTCGATCAGGAGGATGGAGACTAGAGAGGTGCAGGAGGTAGCTGCAAGACCCTCTGGCCCTGGAGCAGAACCAGCTGTACCTGGAGAGCTGTCCTCCATCGCGCCTTGGCCCCTCTGGCTGTCCTTGCCACAGGCTTAGCTTCAGAGTGGGCGTCCTCCCGACGGGTGTGTGGGTGTTACATCACTTGCCTGGCATGCAAGATGCCCTGCTCCAGCCCCACACCAGCAAAGGGAGAGCAAGCCGGTGTGGCGCACGACTAACCTCTGAATCCCCTCAGGCTCCCTGCCCAGCCCGGGGCCCTGGTCCTGCCGACCTTCAGCGCAGCCTTCGTGGATGAGAACTTGCCGGATGGGACTCGCCTCCAGCCAGGCACCAGGTTCATCAAACACTGGAGGATGAAGAACACGGGGACCGTGAACTGGAGCACGGACACGAAGGTACTGTCCCCAAGCACAGGCACGTGCCCTGACACTGGAAGCACAGCCACGAGCGCGGTCCCTGGCCCTGTGCTCCACAGCTCAAGTTCATGTGGGGGAACCTGACGCTGGTGTCTGCTGGGAAGAAGGATGTCCTGGTACCCTTCCTGGAGGCTGGCCACGTGGGCGTGGTGTCCGTGGAGTTCGTCGCCCCGGCCCTGGAGGGGACATACACATCCCACTGGCGCCTGACTCAGAGCGGCCGGCAGTTCGGGCCCCGGGTCTGGTGCAGCATTGTCGTGGACCCCTCTGCACCTGCAGAGAGCCTGAGCAACAGCAGCGAGGGCGCAAGCGGCCAGCAGGAGGTGAGCGTGCAGGCAGCTGAGGCTTGGGCCTGGGTGGGACGTGGGGCTGCAGTGGTGGGGCGCGTGTGGTGGCCAGGGCACAGAGGGAGAGAGGAGCGCTGAGTCCACAGTCCCATCCAGAGGTCCCCTGTGACCTTTGTTCTTTTCTCCTTGCCGCACTGGGGATAGAAACCCAAGGTCTTTGCACTGAGCCATATCCCCAGCTTTTTTTTGGTACCAGGGATCAAACTCGGGATCTTGCGCTTGTGATGCAGGCAGCAGAACCACTGAACTAATCCCTGTCACATTCCTAGCTCTTTGTATTTTGAGACAGTCTCAGTTACCCAGGCTGGACTCAAACTTGGGCAGTCCTCGTGCCTCAGCCTCCTGGAGTGCTGGGATGACAGGCAAGCACTGCCAAGCTTGGCTTTTTTCCTTTCAGTGTGGAGATTTAGCAGTGCTTTTTGTTGTTGCTGTTTGTTTGCCTATTTTGGGAGGAGGCATCGTCAGTTTCCTGCCTGAGTTCTGTTGAGACTTAAGATTTGTTCCAACCGCTTGTCTCTGTAGGAGGCCTTTCTCGTGGGTGGAGGAGAAACCCCGATGAGCGAAGTGACTGCGGGGACAGGAGGGACAGGGGCCTGCATCCTGCAGAAGACAAAAATTGCAGCCGGCAGGGAGAGGGAGCTCTACATCCCATCCGTGGACCTGCTGAGTGCGCAGGTGCAGGACGGATCCTTGCGCCGCTGTCGCCACACACGCGCACGCGGGCAGGTTGGGGGTGACTCACTGTGCGACCTGGGCAGCATCTGCTTCAGTCAGGGCGCCGGGCAGGGCCACAGCCTCACAGGCCCTGTTTGTCCCAGGACCTGCTGTCCTTCGAGCTGCTGGACATGAACATCGCACGGGAGCTGGAGCGCGTGCCCCACAACACACCCGTGGGTGAGTGGGGCTTGCTGCTCGTCCGTGGTCTGTAGCCCGGCCGGATCCTGAGGCCGCTGGCAGGCGTCCCGCCCGCACCGGTCACCAGCAGCAGTGCAGGTTGCTGCAGGGCCTCCTTCCCAAGCGGGACCTGCTTTGTTCCCTTGTCTTGCATTGTTCTCTGCCCTGGCCGCAGCCTTCCAGGCCGGGCAGCCATCGGTGACTGGCTGATCTGAGGTCCAGGGGACTTCAGGCCAGGCAGCGAAGCACGCCCAGGCGTGTGCCCTGCCCACAGGCGGTGCCAGCTCCAAGGCCCACGGCCTCGCCACGCCTGGGGAGGAGGCCGCCACCCCTCAGCTGACGCCCCGTTTCTTCCCTCTCCAGATACGACTCCTTGCATGTCCCCACTGCCCCATGACGGTCCTTTCCTGGAGAAGCCAGGCTTGGGGCAGATCCAGGAGGAGAGCGAAGGGGCGGGACGGAAGGCGCCTCCAGGTAAGGGTCAGGGTCAGCAGTGCGGGCTCCTCCTGCTCCCTCCTGTCCTCTTCTGCCCCTGTACCTCCTCACCCCCAGCAAGCAGCGGGCCTGACCCGGTAGCTCCCTCACTGTGCCAGCCTCACATCTCTCAGGTCCCACGGCTCCTGAGAAGAGGAGGGCAGAGACCGCTGCCTCGGGGGAGGACACAGAAGAAGACCTGAGCGGGACCCAGTTTGTGTGTGAGACCGTCATCCGCTCCCTGACCCTGGACGCGGCCCCGGACCACAACCCGCCCTGCAAACAGAAGGCCCTGCAGCGTGAGTGTTGCGTCCCTGCACTGCGCCTGCCGTGCTGTCGGCAGGGCTCCCTCCCCTGAAGCAGTGTTAGGGGCTTGGGTTGTGGCTGTTTCTCTGGACCCCACGAACCCCACCTGGCTGTTCTCTTCAGAGCGCCAGCCTAGCTTGCGCCTGTAGTACCAGGGTCAGAGCCACCAGTGCACTCCAGTGAGGGGCAGCCGGTGGCTCAGCCCCAACTCTGCAGGAAAGAGTTCTCCTATACAAGGAGTGGGCACCACCCTCGGGCCCCTCTGCCTGATTGTCTGCTTTCCCAGAAATCGTGGGGGAAGCAGGAGTAGGAGGAGAGGTTACGCTTGAGAAATAACCTGACAGCAACCTCAGAGGGCACGTAGTAGAGCAGTGCTGTATGCTTCAAAGACTAGAAAGTCACAGCCGGCGTGCTGGTGCACACCTGCAATCTCTGCTCCCGGGAGGCTGAGGCAGGAGGACTGCTGCCATTTCAGGGCCAGCCTGGGCCATATAGGGAAACTTTGTCTCAAAAAAAACAAAGAAAATAGGTGTAATTTCTGGTGCATACAAACATGGATGTGGGCGATTTCCTCTCTGTGACCACAGAGCTCTCCCAGGCATGGGGAGCATCAGCAGCTGCTCCTAAGAGTCTTCTTTCAGGTCGGTCCCTTCGTCCCTCAGTGAGCTTCACCTTGCCTGAGGAGGGATTGCTGGGAGCCGAGGAGGAGGAAGAGGAGGAGGAGGAGGAGGAGACAGAGGAGGAGGGGCTGGGAGACGAGGTGCAGAGCCAGCCCCCCTGCTCCCTGGAGGACTACGTCATCATCCTGCCCGAGTGCTTCGACACCAGCCGCCCCCTCGGGGACTCCGTGTACAGCTCCGCGCTCTCACAGCCGGGGCTGGAGGCCGGGCAGGAGCCCATCGAGGCCGAGGCTGGGGCTGGGGCCGGAACCTCGGCGACACTCACTGCAGGGGAGAGTCCGTCGCAGGGGCACAGCCTCAGCGACGTCCTCGCCATCTCACAGACTCTGGACGCCGTGTCCCTGGCCCCCGAGATGGTGGGGCTGCCGCCAGCGCCACCCAGGTACCCATCACCCCCGCTCCCCGGAAGAGAATAGTGCGGGAGGAGCTGGCCTGGCTTGGCCTCAGATCTGTTTTCCTCAGCACTGGGAGACACCGTTCCTGTAGTAAAGTCCAAATTTACATGAATGAAGTCGTATTTCCCAGTGTTTGTGGATTTGGGATGTAAAGGGTGCTTGTTTTAGACTGCCTTCGCGAGCTGAGGGTAGTCTGCTGCTTGCTTTGAATTGCCGAGAGCCAGTCACTAAACCCAAGTACCCCTGGACCTTCCCTTTTCATTGGGCTTGTTTATGTGTAAAGGCAGCAAGAACTCACTTGTACATTAACCCAAGGTATAATTAGGAAGTTAAATGTATTATGAATCCAAATAGAGATTCGAACTCTCTACGGGATCTGTGGAGTTGCTGCCCTCTCGCAGTGCCGCAGGAAGTGCTGGTGGCCTGCCTGTAATTTACAGCGTGCTCCCCGGAAGCTGGCCCGTTTCTTTTACCAACACCGTCTGGTACAGGGGATGTTGATCCAGTGACTAGACTAGGCCAGATATGGTTGTGCACACCTGTCATCTTACCACTGTGGGAGGCTGAGGCAGGAGAATTAAGCCCAGTGTGGGCAGCTCAGCAGTTTAATAAGGCCCTGTCTCAAAGAATGGAAGGGCTGGATGCAGCTCAGTGTGAAGCCCCCTGGGTTCGACTCCAGTACTATTCTTGAAAAAAATGACCAGACGAAGCTGATCTTTTGGGTTGACAGTGGCCGAGGAGGGAAAGCAGAAGGCAGCCCCTCGGCCCCTGCCCTGCAGCCACACGTGTGACCCAGCAGAGTGCCGCGCCTCCATGCTGGGGTGATTGTCCCCTGCTGCCGCTGCTGTTCCAACTCACTGTCCATGTCCTCTCTGCAAGGCAATCTCTGTCTGCACAGCATGGCCCCCTGGCAGTGGATGCCCCGGCTGCCACCCCAGAAGCCTCTGCAGCCCCCAGTCAGGTCGGAGCAGGTAACTCTGGCTCGGGCCCCACTTTGTTCTTTCACCAGAAAGTGGGTCTGGCAGGCCGTGCGGCTCCTGGGCTCCTCGGGTCCAGTGGAGGCTTGCAGGACCTGGCAGAGGTGGGCATCATGCGGGAGGGGAGGGTGACGGTGTGGAGTGGCCCAGCTGAGCCGCAGTGCCCAGCGTGAAGCTGTCTGTGCACCGCAGAGGCCTGCCGGGGTGTGGGAGAGCTGGACTTCCCCCGAGGGGCAGCCGGGGTGGGTGGTCTGCGTGGTGTCTCCTGTGCCCTTCAGAGCTCTGAAAGGCTTGGGCCCTGCCGGGAGGGTGGTGCAGGGCCGCGGTGCCTCTGACCAGCAGCTCTTCTGCTTTCAGAGCCCAGAGGCTGCCCGGGGCCTGTGAACAGCAGGCAGAAGAGCTGCGACCACACAAGGTAACGGAACCATCTCTGAGCAGGAACAGGCAGGGGTCGGCATCAGGCGCGCCCCAAACTCCCCCAGTGCTGGGAGGCCGCGGTCCCTGCCAGCCTTTCCTAGGAGCTCAGCAGGTCCTCAGCTCCACTCCCTGCCAGGTGCTTTGAGATGGGCAAAGCACTGTGGCAGTGTGCGGCGACCGAGCTGTGTCACAGCCAACACTGGGCGCTGTGAGGGAGGAGCAGAGGGCCCTGGAAGGCGCCCCACTCGCTCTGCCCCCTTGCGCAGTGTAAGCGTTGCTGGCTTTCCCTCCGTAGGCACCCGCACGGAAGCAGCATCGCAGGAGGGCTGGTGAAGGGGGCCTTGTCCGTCGCCGCCTCTGCATACAAGGCCCTGTTTTCTGGGCCCCCAGTGACTGCACAGGTAGTACCCGCGCGGCTCCCGGGACTAAGGCCAAGGGGCACGGCGCTGTGGGGAGCACAGCTTTGCTCCTTCCTGGCCCCTGACTCCCGCCGGGTTACCTGAGCGGGAGGACCTGCTGCAGAGGCGGCGGGCAGGGTGACACTGCAGCCTGCCCTGGGCCCGAGGGCAGAACAAGGGCTCAGCGGGAATGCAGTGGGCGTAGTGTGGGCAGCAAGGAGCCAGGGCGGGCCCTGCAGGGAGCATGGCTGGTGACGCTGCGGTGGGTGGAAGGGCAGAGATACCTGGATAGAGGCAGGATACGGGGGCCTGGACGTCACGTTAAGTGAGGATGGCACTCAACACGGCCACGCTGGCCGAGTGAGCTCCCCCACTAATGTGGAGGCTGAGGAGCCAGTGAAGAGCCATGTGGAGACCCAGGGACAGCTGGAGAGGAGGGCGGAAGAAGTCAGTAGAAGAGACGGAAACACCCGTAACCCTAGGATTCCGTGAGGCTGAGGTAGGAGGGTCACAAGTTGGATGCCAGCCTGGGCAACTTAGCAAACCCCTGTCTCAGAATAAACAGAGGGCTGGAGGAGCCAGGGACTTAGTTCAGTGGCACCACACCTGCCTCTCAAGTACAAGGTCCTGAGTTCAGTCCTGTTCCAAAAATAAAGGGCTGGGACAGAGCTCAGTGCAAAGACCCTGGGTTCAATCCTGAATGCTGCAATGAATCAAGATAATTTTTAAAAAAGAGGGACCAAGGGTGTAGCTCCATGGTCATGAGCTGGGTTCCATCCCCAGTGCCACAAAGGAAAAAGTAGCAGAGTGGAGGCCAGTGCCCACGCTTCTGGCTCCAGCCGTGTTGGTGGAGTGAGGAACAGGTTCGTTGAGCTAGGCGTACCCGGGTCCGCTTAAGGACGCAGTGGAGGGGCCAGCCCCCAAGGGGCAGCCTGGAGCCTTGGGCGATGGGGTTCCCCAGGGAGAGTGGGGGAGGCAAGAAGCAGCCCTCGTGGATCAGGAAAGAGGGTCCTGCGTGGGGTGACAGGTGGGGCTGAGTCTGCTGGTGCAGGCAGCAGGTGGGTGGGGTCCTGCGGGGAAGTCGGACCTGAGAGTACAGGATCTGACAGCGCCCGCTGCCCAGCAGCCACATCCCTGGGGGACAGGGCAGCAGCCAGGGCGCCCGGCAGAGGGGCCCTCTCTGAAGAGGGGCGAGGCTAGGGACAAAGGCAAGGTGCAGGTCAAAGCTGTGGTGCCTCAGCAAGGCCCGCCTCAGGGTGAAAAGGGCTGGGCTGGGCCAAAGCAGGGGCCCTGGGCTCCATCCACAGTGCTGCAAAAAACATATTGATCAATTACAGTTAGCCAGGGTGCAGGGAAAGGCCGCCTTCTGCACTACCAGTGGGCCCAGTGTTAAGTACTAAGTAACACAGCCGCTGCGGAAATGTGTAGGCCGGGCCAGAGCTCAGTGACTGCGCCTGCTTGGCAAGCACAAGGTCCTGAGTTTGATCCCCATATCACGGAGAAAAATCAATGAGGAGGCTCCTGAAAGGCTCAACGTAGAGCCACTATTTGCAGCGGTCACACTCCTCGGTATAGTCCAGTGGGGTGAACCGCTGACACTGTGCCACAGCTGGCACACAGCCCTCTATCACACGCGAGCCAGTTAGCGCTTGGGTATGGTCGCAGTGTTTGCAGTTTGCACACTCAGTCTCCGGAAGGGTCTCCGTCACTGGTGTACGCTAAGAGTCAGCACACTGAGGGACCTAGAACCTGTGTCTGCAGCAGCGCAGTGTCCCACAAGGGAGTGCTGGTGGCCATCAGCAGATAAGTGGGTAAGGACACGTGCAGCGTGTATCAGTCTCCTGTGTGAGTAGTGTCAGCCAAAATGAAACACCAAAATTTGGAGGCTGGGGATGTAGGTCAGTGGCACTGTGCCTGCCTTGAAAGCACAAAGTTCTGAGTTTGAATCCTGGCACCTCACCCAAAAAAGTTTTTGTCATTTGCAAAAAAATGAGTGAGTCTGGAGATGATTTTACTGAGCTAAGACTCAGACAGACAAGTGTTGCATGTTCTCCCTGACAGCTGGGATCTAGAAAAGACAAGAGAGTAGAGGGAGAGAAGAGAAGAGCAAGGGAAGCCGGGTGTGGTGGCGCACACCTGTAATCCCAGCACACTGGAGGCTGAGGCAGGAGGATCGCTGTGAGTTTGAGACCAGCCTGGGCTACATAGTGAGTTCCAGGTCAGTCTGTACATAGTGAGGCCCTCTCAAAAAACAAAAAAACAAGAGCGAGGGAGGGGGAGGCTTAAGGACGAGTAATGCGGTGTGGACATGATCAAAATACATATGTGATTGATGTATAAATAATACATATCAACCAAACCTGAGAGGTGGAATGGGACGAGGGGGAGTCTGATGAAATGAAAACCCTTCTCCGCCGAACCAGGAAGCCCAATTAAAGAACTGGACGGGAGAGGATGATTACTAGAGAGAGGTCTGAATGGCAGGAAGTAAACAGCACTGTGTGGAGGCATCAGCCAGGAGAGGGCGGGCTGAGCTGTGTGCCTGGCTGGGGAGCTGGCTGGCGGCGGGAGGCCTGGTGGGAGGGGCTGAAGGCTGCCCGCTGCGGGTCCCTGCTCCCTCCCCAGCCTTCTGTCCTCTTCCTTCCCCTGGTTCGCCGTCCCGCGGCCCCACCCCGCTGCTGGTCCCCCAGCGCCTCCCACACCCCGGGAAGACTGGTGTGACACGGGAGACGGGGGAATCGGCAACGAGACTTGGGTGGCACAGACGGTGCTGTGCGCCACTCTGGTCTTTCCACAGCCTGTAGTTTCTGAGCACCAGACCGCGGCCCTGATGGCTCACCTCTTTGAAATGGGCTTCTGCGACCGGCAGCTGAACCTCCGGCTGCTGAGGAAGCACGACTACAGCCTCCTGCAGGTGGTGACCGAGCTCCTGCAGATCAGCAACAACGACTGGTACAGCCACCGCTACTGACCGCACCACAGCAGGAGCCTGCTCCCTGGGGCTCGGCGGAGGCCCGAGCTCGCATTTTAATCTGATCGCTCTCTAGAGCCCTTCATTGAATTTCCAAGACAGTATCTGCTACAGTATTTTTTGAAGCAAATCAAAGACCAGTACTGCACTTTCGGAACTGATGACTGGTCAGAAGATAGTTTCTCAGTTGATTTGGATCAGATGCCTCCATTTTTAGTGCATTGAAGAGTGTCCCGAACTTCCTGTAGAACCGTTTTCTCTGTGCTTGTCCCAAAGTTGGGTACTTTCCTCTGGCTCATGTGGATGTTTTTAATGGGGATACCTGTTGTCAGTCTTCAAAAGAAATTAGCCTTGGGGTTTGTTTTCACCAATTCTGCGGGTTCTGTGACCAACCCGAGGCCCCGCACCACGTGGTGACGGGGTACAGCACAGGCGGCTCTAGCGCTGGGGCTCAGGGGTGCCCTGGTAGGGAGCTTGCAGACATCTGCCCTGACGAAGAGAAACTTAGTGTGAGATACTTGGATGGTCGTGTAGAAAAGGGAAAACCCCACCTATTACGGGAAAAGTAAATCTGACAGTTGTCCTCTTTCCGAGTGTCACGGAGGATCCTGCCTTCCTGGAGTGGCGGGTGGGCGGCCGGCTCCGTGAGTCTCGGGCTGGGCGGCGGTGCTGCCCTCCCCAGAGCGTCCGAACCCCTGGGGCAGGGAGGAGCCTGGAGCGGCCAGGCCGCAAAGCCTGCAGTGGAGGGCAACACCCCCCGGCCCTCGCAGCTTCCAGAAGGACGGGCAGCAAGAGGAACCCCAGACCGCGGGGGCACGGATAGTTAAAATAGTATTATTTAACCTGGCTGGTATTTATAACGTGGCAGTTTTAATTCATCCATTGTAATGTTTATTTCCAGTATAACTCTTGAATGCTACTAAATAAACCGGAATTCAGACTGCAGACCCGCCAGGCCCGCCCTCATTTAAAACGCTGCTGTGGGCTCCTGGCGATAGGGCTGATTCCAGGGGGCCTTGCGTGTCCGGCCTTCCGCCGGCCGTCCTGACCCTCGCCG